ACGCCTGTGGAGAGACAATGCCTTGATACCTATTGAGCCCTGGCTTTTTAATCCTTTACAATCCCCCCTGCTTTTTACGCTGCATTCTTTACTACATGAACACTTATTGCCATACAGGGTCCAAGTTTGGATTTAGAGGCCTGTATTCAGGGGGTGGCTTTTGTGCCTCCTAACAAGGCAAAGGAGGAGACACCCACACCTCCCTCTCTTGCTGTTTTTCTCTCTCCCTCTCTCTCCCTATTTTTCTGCTGGGTTATTTCCCCTAAGCCCTCTGACATTCTGGCACCTGTTTTCCTCACAAAACCGTTAATTTATCACTGAATTATTAACTAAGAGCCCACAATGTGTCTGGCACTCGGTGACATGTCCTGACTTTGTGGTGGAGAGGGGGTGTGGTTGCCGTGGCAACGGGGGGGGGCTTTTTTATCGGAAAAAAGGCAATTTAGCCAGTGAATCCCGTCTGCGTTCTTAGAGGATCCACCACCAAAATGTCTCTACCGGAGAATGTTATAGGATTAATAAAACACATGAGATAGCAGCAGCTTTTTGCCTTTCAGAAGACAATTTTGGGGGAAGAGCATTTGCTCATCATAATGGATGTATAGTGCAGGATGAGCCTCTGTAATGAGCACATTGAAGTATGCTTGAGTGAGATGCCTTTTTTTTTTTTTTTTAAATGTTAGGAATATTGCTGACACTGAAGGGTCAAAATGGAAGTGGCTGGAAAACAGAACAATTGGGTTGATTTTAACATTCTATAAAATCATGTGACAACAGATGAGCAGAAATCTGTTGTAGTAAAAGATGAACGCATACTTCTGTGGTGCTTTTATGTAATGCAAAACGACAAGAAAAGCGAGATGAAGCACATAAAGAGAGGTCATCAGTGTAGCATGGAGAAAGGGCAGCGGCTGTGCAGCTGTCACTGGCTTTGAGATGTGTATTTCATCACAGAGGGAGCGGAGAAGACCCTTGACCGGGTAAAGTGATAGTCTAGTCGGAGCGTCACAGATTGAAGCGTGAAGTAACACACACTAGCCTGCTTAGGGTAGGCTGAAGTACGGCAAAGAGGTAGGAGGGGAGGGCTCCCTTTGTAGCCCTGAAGAGCAGCAGCAGGGTTTTGAAGTGGATACAGGCAGTTCCTGAGAGCCTCAGGAGCAGATTGAGCAGAGGTGGGGGGGGCAGTTCGGAGGAATGTAAGTCAACTCTGGCTGCAGGGGCCCAGCCAAAAGGGAGTTACAGTGGTGTAGCTAGGGAGATATTAATGAGTTAGTAGACTGGAGTTCAACCATAGACCCAGAATAAAATGTTTCAGACTTTAACCTAAAAGCTGATTGGTGCGTTGTGAATGAGCTGTTGCTGCTTATGTGCAAAAACATGTTGGATTAAATCCATTTGCAGATCAAGTTATAGATGTTGCCCGGGGGCTTTTAGAGAAGCTTTTGTTAGTGCCTGCCAAAAGGCTAACGGAGAGTCCAGTATGGCCCGCTCGCCCCTACTCACCACTACTGTAAGTCTTTACGGTCAGAGATCATACCGCCTGCAGGCACTCTCAATACAAACGTCCCAGTTAAAGACGAATGCTTGTGTTGAACACGTCTTGTGGGAGGCTGGTCGGTCCATCTTCTTACAAATAGCTTCACACACTTACAGCCAACATCAATCAGGAAGAAGCCATTGACCACCTGACATTGATCTCCTCGTGCATCAGATCATTGAACAAGTTTGAATTTTATTTGGAAAAACTCCTCTTTTGAAGATTTAAATCAAATCAAACTAGAATGTGATTCCCTCTGTGTCCTATGTTAGAGTCCATCAGTTTTATTTTCTAATCTCTGCTTTGAACTGTACCAAGAAATTCCTCTTTACATGAATACACAAATTATATGCAGGAACATTTCTACAATACAATAATAAATGCCATTGAGAATTCTTGCGTAGGTTAAATTAAATTCCATAAATCCACTCGAGCAGTTGGGAATAGTCCAAGTTGCTTATCTGGATGAAATAGAATGAATAACACGAACATTTGGTTGAATCCCCCCTTTTTCTTTTTCAAGATAAGAATTGGATTATCATCAATGGTCCCTCGCATAATACTTAGAGATAAAGGACTGTGCTGCTATCAGCGTCACAGCAGGATACCTCTCATGTCCCCTGTTGTAAATGGCTGACTTTCCTTTGTAGTTTCGCTCTTGTAATGAAGCAGCGATGGGAGCGTCTGGCAGATGCCTCAGGCCTAAAGTAGATCTCTGAGAAGATGGGGCTCCAACAGTGATAGATGAATTGGGCTCGTTGAGTGATGACATTTCTTCCACTCTAGTTCTCTCGACACACACACACACACACACACACACACACACACACACACACACACACACACACACACACACACACACCACCAGAGCCGCTGCAGAGCCCTACTGGTTACTGACAGGGCAGACTGCTCAGGTTTTCAACACAGACTGGTTCAAAACCGAAACGACTTGTTCAGATTACACACTTTTAACCCTCAAATCTCTTGGGGGTAGATGTAAGCAAACCTAATTTTTCAAAGAGCAGAACATGGCCCTAAAGTGCAACAGTGCAAAGGGGCATTAAAGTGTTTTCTACGCATGACATTTAACATATAAATGTTGGTTGTTTTCTTGCAGTTCAGAATACCAACGTATAGGTTGGACATTAAAGCAGACATTGATCCCATCAGAAAAAAGTAGCTACATCTAAAAAAATGTTTTAAAAAAACCTGCATTTCCTTTGATCACTGGGACAATGAGATTTCCACCTTGGTATGTCCATGCTCTCCGATCTTCTGCCCCCTCTACGGCTTGATTTGCTGCTCTTCTGGTTATGGATGTGCAGCCATGCGTGATCCAATTAGCATGATGAGCACTGGGCTTAGTGTGAGGCTAATGTCTGCATGTTCACGAGAGTTAATGGATTGTTAGTATGGATCCCAGCTCTCCCTAGAGTCTTAGCAGTTGGTGGGCTCTCTGCAGGGGTTATTGGCATCTTTAAACCTGTGTGTAACGTTATAGCCAGGCCTCCTGCTCTGCTATATGGTTTCACAGTCTGTTGATATTGATAATGAATAGAGGCGCCCTTAGAGAAAGCCAGATAGCGACATGCAATCTTGATGCAGTGAAGACAACCTGTGAGAAGTTTCCTTGTTAATTTTGATACAGAAAGTTTTATATGTCTCCAACAGAAATCTGTGATGAATTAATCTTCTGCATTTTTTTCTCAGTTGATGTTTTTGTCCAGGAAAAAAAAATGAAACATGATTTTGATCCCACCAGCTTCCCAAAACACTGTATATTAAAGATAAAATGATGTTAAGCGGAGAAATGTAAATCACTTCCTCAAATGGATATGAATGATCATAATCAGAAACAATGCCAAAATGACAAAGAGATGGAAGCTGTTTTTCTCACAGTATGATGGAAGTTCACATTCTGTATTTATTGTCTCAGATATAATAGACAGCCTGTGGCTTTTGATGATGACTTGGTGTTTTGGGGAATGTGATCCTCATGTTTTCTCAATTTGACTAGAAGGACGATGTTAGGGTAATAGCTATTGTCTTTGATGTTTTAAAGGAAGATTTATGTGTTGCAATTATGTTGTTTGTGAAAGACTCCAACACATATAGCTTTTGTTGTTTCAAGTCAGACTTCCTCTTCCCCAGAAATCATAACAGACATTTCAATTTAAACTCACAATCACAATTTTACAGAATTTAGCATCCTAGGGCTACTCTGAGCTGGAGCCAAAGCACCAGGCAAACATGAGGAAAAACTCGTTCTTCCTCTGAGGTTGCTATACGTCTCTTTTCTGCTGCTTGAGATAGGGCTGCTCAATGAATCATATTTTAATCGCGATTACGATTATGGCTTGCAACGATTACGAAAACAACGTAATCGAAATAAAACGATTGTTTTTTATTATTATTATTACTTTTTTTTCCTCAGTGCCGATTCCACTGTGCCTTGACATGGAATACATTTCTTGACATTTTAGTGCAAGTGCGGAACAAATCACCTTATCACTCAGCTTTTGTTCCTTCTCTCGTGTCCCTCTCTCACTCTTTCGGCTAAATCCGGTTCTAAATCTCACATCATCAACCCCGGACGACAGCAGCAGGCGGCCAAGTGAAATGGCTGCAGTCACACAGATGCAGTGTCAGGCACGTTAGCTTTCCGGAGACAGTCACAGTTAATGCCCCTAAACCCCATCAATTTGTGAGACCAGATTGAGTTTCCAGAGCAGCGTGGAGCGTGTGGTAAAACTGTTGACTGTGGCAGACACTGCAGTTTGCTTTTGAGGGACTTCCAGACCAACATTGTCGGGAGGCTCTGGGTCGTCTTGTCTTGTGGACGAACCGTTTGACCTGCTTTTAGAAAGGGCCTGTGGTCAACCTCTGTATGACACAGATGATGCAGTGTGAAATGTGTTTATCTGGCAAAGATTAAATCACTTTTGTGTATACCTCGCTATTAGTATACTCTGCTATACTTGTAATTTATGGGATATTTGACAAATAAAAGAGGTGAAACTATATTTCTCATTTTCACTTAATGTCTGAATGTCTGATCTGGTATCTGAATTTCATGCGAGGAATCCCCTTCTCCCTTTCCTGCAAATGCTGAAGCAGCAACATTGCTCAGCCTCACTTCACAAGGCTGACTTTTCTCTGTGATATGGAAAGTGAGTCTCAGATATGTTAAATGCTTGATCTGTTCTTTGATGTTGAGGACTACACTGACAGTGTCAGTTCATGCACAGATCTTAGGCTAACAAGGATCATTTCTGACTTTATCAGGTCGTATTCATAACAACTTGTTTTTTATAATTACAATAAAGGTCAAAGGACACTCGTAAATGCTTATTCAAGCTTGAATTTTCTATCCAAGAAGCTCTTATAATTGCACTGCTCAACATTCAAGAAGGATTCAGAAATGTTTTTTTTTTCCAGCTTTAAATCTTGTTCATGACACAGCATGGACAGCATTACTTTGCTCCAGTTCACCCTCAGCAGTGTGCTTCTCACCCCTCTAAGTCAACTGAGGGTATCCTCTTTTATTGTACCTATTCTCCTGAGTCTCTTTTCCCGCTCTTGTTGGACAGGTTGATATTCTGTTTGACCTTTTAAACTACTATATGTATTTGTTTCCATTCGTTTTTTTAATACTGCAGTATTTTAGTACGCAAGTGAACTGAGACCGGGTTTTTCCAGCTCTGAAATTGAATTAAATATGGTCTTTCCATTACAATTTTTTCCAATTTGTACTCTCATTTTTTCCCCTCCTCAGATGAAGCTGTGGAACAAGTACAAGGTAACCAGTATACCATCTCTGGTGTTCGTGGATGCCTCTACGGGGAAGGTGGTGTGTCGAAATGGTCTACTGGTGGTCAGAGATGACCCTAAAGGTGAGATTGGTGGTCTCTGCAGCACGCACACATACACATGTTGGCTATTATAAGTGAATGCATCATGCTGATTTATTTTTGTCCCCTGATCTCGAGCTCCGACCTTAATCCTCTTTAATAAATGGTTAACCTTAACCCCCGACACTAACCATTCAGCCCTAAAAATACAACCTCTAAATTAGGTAATAGACATTTAAGGGTCAAAAAGACAGAACAACATGCATCCATTTCTCACACACTTGTTTAAACCACTGTAACCCTGGATTCTTGGGTTACATTCTTGGTCATCAAAACAGCAACAATTTGCACACCCTTGCTCTGGGTTCACATCAGCTTTTCTACTTTAACGTTACACCTGTCCCTCATAAAACTACTGCAGTTAGGAACATTCCCCTGAGGCAAGGGGGCATGAATGAGCAACTTTAATGTAAAAAAAAAGACCTTTTGGGGGATTTCTGGCATTTCTATTCCCCCTATTTTTATTCATTTCCAATTTTTGCGATTTAAAAAATGTGAAATAAAGAAACTGTTGAGTGATGCTTTAATATTAAACTAACATTAGTTAGAACAATACTAATAAAACCTAACAGTGTAACATAATATATTATTCCAACTGGTCTAACTACCACAGTGTGTTGTACCCAACATAGATATGTTCGATTAGCTTCAGAAATGAAAGTAAACCAAGATATTGATGAGGACAGAAGTCACACCTGCATACACACAGTCACAACACTCATTCTCTGTAATGATGTTTACCAAATGCCTGCTCAGAGTTCCCTGTGGAGATACTGCCACATCATTCAGCATTTGGACGAAACATTTTGCGATTACGTGTTTGTGTTGATGCTGCCGTAATTAGGGTGCTGGATGAATATTATAGTGTGGCCATGTTTCACTCCCTCATCTGAAAACCCTATCATTTCTGCACTTTGAAGTGAAGGCAGGGAATTAACAAGAGTGAACTTGCATTCCTTTCCCTGTGCACAGGACGTCCTCTGTGGCTGTGACTGTGAAGATCTACATTTTTAAAAAGCATTACCTTTTCAGGTCCAGCTAGGTCAGTGTGAAAGAACTCATTAGTCATGAGAGAAAAGAGAACAGCGGCTCTGTGGAAGTGCTGCGGTGAAGCAGAATGGGTTTCACATGAGGATTGTGACACATTTTGCTCACTGGCTAGTGAAAGCCAGTCCCAGCCTGCAGAATTATCATTGGCTGTTCTTCCAAACTAGATGTAGCTGGATAACCATTTAACAGGCTCCCAATTATTTTCATTTTTTTACATTTTGATGTGTTTTCATTTTCATATTATTTGAAAGGCAGACAAAGAGTAGTTTCTGACATGACAAATCAATTCAGCTACAGCTTGGAAGAGGGATATGGAATTAAGAGTTTGCTATGCATCAAGACTGGGAGGGGCATTTGAACGATTCAGGGCTCTCAGCCTTTCACTCTCCATGAAAGACCGAACTTGAGTGGCGGCAGACTAGCCTGCAGCGGAAAGATGGAGTGCACTTTTACAATCAGGACAACAATAAAAGGCCGTGTATGTGTGGTGCAAACGTGTCATTCCCGCCTAATGAATCCCTGGACAACCACGCTTGCATAAAGAGCCCATTATGATGCAGCCATACAAGGTTTTTTATGAGTACCTCCTTTTTTAGTTCCAAATACATCTCTAAAGCTTGATGGTAACAATAACGTGCGAAAGAGAGCTGGAAGGAAGTATTTCTTGCAACCTGTATTTGCTCAAGGCAACGCATTTATTAAGTGATAACTAATTAAATCATTTAAAAAATGCATTTATCTTTTTCGATAATTTGAAAAAAGTGAAGAAAATGCCAACATTTTCATCGAATGTGAATTGATTATCAATGGTCTTTGGTCATACGAAGCAGGACCTTTTGAAGATGTCGCCTTGGATTTGGATGAATCAATGACTAAAAAAAGTGTTAGTTGCAGACCTAATTCGGTTCACCAACTTACCTGACACATGTTTTTAAACTACTCTGGTGCCGTGTCCAGACGCAAATATTTTGACAACTATTTGATTTGTAATACACCTTACTATTTATCTAGCACCAACATGAGGTCAACATTTGATTGTCTACAGTATTTTGGTTTATGACAAATTACAAGTAACATTATTTTCAGCCTCATCTTATTATTATTATTATTATTATTATTATTATTATTAGCCTCCTAAACTGAAATGTACACCATGGTAATACTATACCTAGTCAAAATCAGCATTTTAACATTTTCATTGTGAGCATGTTAGCATGCTAATTTTAGCATAGCTCAGAATGGCTGTGCTTCACAGACTAGCTAGATTGATTTCTTATCTTCCTCTTAATGATTCTTTTCTTTTCCATCCATTTCTTCTCTTGCCCCCCTACCCTCTCCCAGGCCTGGAGTTCCCCTGGGGGCCAAAGCCATTTGCAGAGGTGGTGGCAGGACCTCTGCTCAGGAACAACAGGCAGACGGCAGACGGCACCTCTCTGGAGGGACACTACGTGGGAGTGTACTTCTCGGCACACTGGGTGAGTACAGGAAGCAGAGAAAAAGGACAAAGAGAAGCCTGTTTTTTTTATTTCTGGCATCGTAGCTACCAGAAAAATCAAAACATTGGGAAAAGAAAGGATATGACCAGCGGAGTGGACCAGGAAGAGACAGCAGTCAGTCAAGACTGATAAGAGAAGAGTAGCAGCAGGGTGGAGGCGACTCCATTGTGTTGGCCTGTTTACACTGACTGTGCTTAGCTATCCCTGTCAGTCCTATCACCACCACCTCTGGACCTTTTTTAAAAGTAGGCATTGGTCTCCCCACCCCAATGACATCATCCCTATTGTCTCTTTACTGCTGGACCTGCTGATAGCCAGGGAAGGTCATGACTCGTTGATGCGTGCAAGGAGGACTGTTCCTGATGAGATGCAGCAGGCCACAGGGGCCAGTCGGCTCAGCAGCTGCCAGAGCCGCAGCCTCAGAGAGAGGAGACGCCAGGAGGCTGGCTCTAACCCCAGACCCTTACGAAATTGAATAGAACAAGTCACAAAAGTCATTACAGGAGTTTATTTGGGTTTTCTTTATACACCACGTTCCCCCTGGTTACTCATGTAAATCTATCCGCTATTAAAGTAATTTTAAAAACATGAAATGCCAGTACCTAGACTTGGAATCCATTAACACAGAAGGGTTTTTCTTTTTTGGCACACATTTGCTTTTTGGCCTGCAGTGTTAAGGAATTTTTCTTTTAAGTCATTAAAATAAAACTGAAGCGAGAAGTGTAGTCACTAACATCATCAAAGAACAGCCCACATGACTAATACAAAGAAGTATTGGCACCACATTGTGCAAACTATAATACAGCAGAACTGCAATAAACTGCATTTACTTCTTTTGAGTAACAGAGGAAGTGGTCAATCAATGAGCAATGTATTGATCGACGATATGTACTTCACACTGCCACAGTACCTTTGTGTCAGTTTGATGAGTATTCATGACTGGATCATTGGAAGTGCTTGACATAATATATCCAGTGTCACATGGAAAGACATTTTGAAAATACCCAAAGTAATGGGAGCTGCTGCAGCAACCCATCATACTTGATTTTTTTATGTACTGTATTTTCACTCCCTTCAACAATCCCTTTTATCCCCTCTTCTCTCTGCATCAGTGCCCTCCTTGCCGCAGTTTGACCCGGGTCTTGGTGGAATCATATCAAACCGTCAAAGAGGCGGGTCAGAAGTTTGAGATCGTGTTTGTCAGCGCTGACAGGTAAAATGCACCAATCTAGACAAGATCATTTTTTGATACATACTGACACATCCGTCTATGTAATAAAGAGAATACTTATTTTCTATTCAATCACCATCTGTTTGGTGCTTTCCTCTCCAGGTCAGAGGAGTCCTTTAAGCAGTACTTCAGCGAGATGCCCTGGTTGGCCGTGCCGTATTCGGACGAGGGTCGCCGGTCACGACTCAACAGACTTTATGGAATACAAGGTACAAAACCACTTCCTGATCTTCAAGCTGAGAGGAGAGAGTCAAGATAAATGTTTTGTTCCAGGCTTTTTTACACCACTCACCGAAACACTGGCGCAATGGCTGACAGATTGCTTCGCTGCTGGAGGAATGTGGGCTGCTTATCAAGTTTACAGTCTTGTCCGCTACGGAAGTGCTTCGCCTCTCCCTCTGCCTCGCTCTATTTCTCCTGATTCGTGTGTGTGTGTGTGTGTGTGTGTGTGTGTGTGTGTGTGTGTGTGTGTGTGTGTGTGTGTGTGTGTGTGTGTGTGTGTGTGTGTGTGTGTGTGTGCAGGGCTGTGGATGAAATTAGCAAGAGCTGGCTCTAAGCCTCTCCTGCAAAATATGTGAGGAATGCCTGGAAGATGAGTCAACACTGCCCACCTCCCACATTTTAAATCAATGCAGTTTAGTATGGCCCCCACCTCTGTTGACTTCAGACCACATGCGCAGACAGGAACACACTCTCTCATGTACACGTATGGTCCCGGATGGTGTCTGTTTTTGATAAGACTGTCAATAGAGCACAAGGTTTTGATCAAAAGGATGGTGCGAGTCAATCACCTGTGGTCAAAGGAAGGGTAGATAACAGATACAAGCAGACATGGAGGCAGAAACGGGTAAAAAAAGGGTAAAAAAACATCCATACAACAAAGAAAATCACAGCGGGAGAGGGAGCAGTCTGCGTCATGAAGCAAACACTTACCAAAATTACCCTAATCACCTCCCACGCTGTTGCTCGTTTCCTGCTTTCCTTTTCCAACCACCTTCTCCTCCTCTTCCTTCCACACCAGGTATTCCCACACTGATTCTGCTGGACACAGAGGGTCACATGATCTCGCGACAGGGCCGTGTGGAGGTGCTGAATGACCCAGAGTGCCGGCTCTTTCCATGGCACCCTCGCCCTGTGCTGGAACTCAGCGAGTCCAACGCCGTGCAGCTGCACGAGGGGCCCTGCCTCGTCCTGTTTGTGGGTGAGTGGACGGCCATATTTGATGAAGCCTCTGCAGCTCCACATGGGGCACAGGAGCTCCGTGTGCTTGAATGGAGTGGCATTTATGTGGACCATATTGAATGTCAGACACTGTGGAAAATGCTTGAAGCGTTGATAGGTCCAAAGGTCTTTGGGAAATGATTTAGTATTTATCTATTATCTATATATATGCAAATACAGAATGTACAAAGAAAGGAATAGCAAGAGCTTTCAGAATGATATTAAAATGTACACGGACTGAAATGGACTAAAGGCCAGTTTGACAGTGATGATCCTCAAAATATAAGACCACCCTGGCCTCTTGCGGTATAACTGGATTACAAAACAAGACAAAAGACCACACTTTCTTTAATGTCCTCACTTATCTGTCCACCAGTCATCTCCACTTCCTTGCTTCCCATGCATTTTTCCTCTCCCAGGTGGCTTTTTTTTCCAGACTTTCAACTTCTTTCTGTGTCTCTTTTCTGGTTCGTTCAGACGCGGAGGAGGAAGGTGAACTGGAGCCAGCCAAGGAGCTGATTCAGCCAATAGCGGAGAAGATTATGGCCAAGTACAAAGCCAAGGAGGAGGAAATGCCGCTGCTGTTCTTTGTGGCGGGAGAGGTGAGATAAGCCACTAAAATGCCATTTCACACAAACTTGCAAAGCTAAAGTCGGGTCAATTCTTGGATGACACGCATCGTACTACTCGGTAATCTATGCGCATTTTTTGTGCTTTACTTACTGATGTGCTTTACTCACGATAGGGCATACAGTGTACCTGCTCTTAAGACAAATCGCTTTTAAAAATCATTCATCCCCTCAGCACTCAAACTTTTGAATTCTTGAAAGGCTTTTTAACTTGATTATTTATTTATTATTGTGATGCTATGAACTACTTATCGTGTAAATTGGAATGATCCACATCTCTGCTCCCGGGTGTATCTGTGTGTTTTCTTCCTGTATGTTCCTGCCTGTGTACATGACATAAGCTGCTCATAACCAATTGCCTCTTGCGGGATTAATAAAGTTGTTGATTGATTGAGATTGACACTTTGAGCAGCTAATATTCAGATTTTTTTTTTAAGGGGTTGCAGGTAAAGCAAATTAAGCTGGGAACCACTGGTTTAAACTGCCATCTTCATCTACAGCATGAACAAACTACAGTGTGTTAGTGACTGGTTGCAGTATAAGTGGGGTTGGGCTTCTATATTTGCCCTCATCTCATAATCCTTTCACGCTCACATTGCATTTTAATGACTTTGACAAACAAGCAAGTCAAACACTGGATAGGATCTTTGAGAGGAGAAACATTCCTCCACTGGCCCGGGCCAACAAAATCTCATTAGCACCAAATATGTTTAAGATTCTTTAAGAATTATAACCCAAGGAAATACTTAAAAGTGTTAAAATAATCTTGTCATTGCTTTCTGGTGGACAATTAATTTGAAGTTGTGTTTGAAGCTGTCTTTGGACTTTACCAACTCCTAAGGGATATATCTGGCTCTCAAGCTGCTAAATCTTTGTTGGCCGTCATGTTGCTAAATTGTTTGTCTGCTGTTAAGTGCTCAGCAGGTAGAGTACACTTTTATAGCTTTTTTTTGGGTTTAATTGGAAGTATTGAGAGTGTACCGAACATTGAAGGTGCGGGCTACAAAAGCTTAAACGATCAGCTAAAAACATTTCAGGTTTCAGTTCGGGTTTGAGGGTTGTTGGTTTGACATAGCGAGTAACGCTTTTCAAGCACTTATAGGATTCATTGATGATACTAAAATATAACATTTAGCCACATTAACTTTTGTTATTTGTAAGCAAGATATGCACTGATCGGGACTCCACACAGTTGAAAAATATATATGTAGTCAGGGTGTCCGCGGGGTCTTAAAAAGTATTAAAAGTTGATAAATCAATTTAGCCAAAATTAAGGCTATTAAAAAGTATTAAACGGCATTTTCCAAGGTATTAAGAAGTCCCACAGCAACGACAACATGAAACACCCTTTAATTTAATGAAACGACATGTCGGGAAACCCCCTCAAGGCGGCCCCATGCATAGCGCGCCGTAAAATGCTGCTTCTTATTTTAAGTTTCGTTGCCTTGCTCCGCTCTGGGGGTGGGGGTGGTGGGGTCCCAAGGTGGGTAGACCGGCATGTCCCAAGGTGGGTAGACCGGCATACGCAACGCTCTGGGGGTCCAACGGCTCCGTGTGTAAGCCCTATATGATGATTTTCTGATAACGATGAAATAGCCCGCCTCCCTCTCCCANTTAGATATTGATATCAGTGAATCTAAACAAACCATGTTATTCCGTTAAGACAATCATGACAGTATATTAAAAATCAAGACACAATGCATGCTTTTTTATCCACCCTTTTATTGCGTTTTGAAACTGGCGAACAATTTATATTGTTCGAGTTCTTGACCGAACGCTGAGTCATGCCAAAACAGCGACATTTTACGCGATAAATACGGGTTTAAATATCAGCATTTGCCACGGAAGGCGAGTGGCAGCTACCATAAACCTTCTCTTAACTTGTGGCATTTACTTGCCACGGCAAGTTGTGGCATATACTTGCCACGGCAAGTTGTGGCATCTGTGGCATATACTTGCCACAGATACCACGGAGTAGCGGCCTCTGTGGCAGATGCCGGAAGTACTTGCCACTGCCTGCAGATGCCACGAAATGAGCCAGGCCCTACTGCGTTCTTTGGTCTCAGGTTGGTGTGTTGCGGCCTTTAGTTGCAGAAAAAGTTATACTTAGCGGCAGTTCTAAATTATAGCATGGGAATGGTCAGCAGGTACATGTGTAGCTCAGATCATAAAATACAACATTTAGTTTGGTCTTCATTAAGGAACAACACAGAATGTTACAACTCAAAAGCAATGAGGGTTGCTAATGTTTAATGTGTTTTTTACTCTGAAAGGCTGATTGTTCCCTCTTTCTTGCTTAGTCAACAAACACCCGTCCGACAGCATGGTTACTATATGACTAGTATCACTTTATCTTGAAGAAGTGGTACAATTTACAAGGGCACGTTGTTGTTAGAGCTAGCTTGGTCAGATGTGGTGAAACTCGAGAAGCCTTAAACAAATAAAAAAAGCTTGTGTATATTTATAAAAACACAACTCAACCCTTTTTCCAGGGCACATGCATTGTATGGTTTCCACAAACTATAAGTAAACAACGTTAACTAAGCAATTAAGTTCTTTCCTGTTGCATGCTGCTGAAATGCTGTGTTGAAAGGTGACGCAAAAGGTAACATGAGAGTTTTACATTTGTAAACAAACATCTGCCAGTGAGAGTGAGCAAACAGCAGGAACCGAGATGATGAAAGAAGGCAAGAGCAGAACGACTGATAGAGGAGGGACAGAGACACAGCGAGTGTCAATTTTCAGGGTCACTTCACCCTGGTGGACGGCTGGCTGACGGGGCAGAGCACGGGTCTAAAGTTCAAGTCTTTATTAGCCCGGCTAAAACAGCACAGCCTTTGTGAAATGCGTTCACCCGTAGCCTCCACGCAACCTCCGATCTTCCCCGCAATCACTGTCTTAAATGAAACACTTACAAAAGAAAAAAACTTAAACAAACAGTCAGTAATCTCCCTACTCACCACCTTCCTATGTTGTCGACCTGAGGGCCTCTTTAAGTGGTATTTCTCTCGTACACACCTGGCTTTAAAGACTCTCAGAAGGAAACAAAGCCAAGAAAAACTAACACATAATGACTGAATGATTTCAAATCACGGAGGAGAAACGAGCCGTCTAGCGTGTGAGCTTCAAGCTTCCACTTCATCAAAAACACGACCAGCATCAGAGGAAAGTGGGCGCTTGGCGGTGTGTTTGGAATTCAGCTACAGAAGCCTGACATACGGATCTGAGTCCCCCCACTGATGCAGGCAGAGGTTACTAGCCCTCTCTGAGCCTCGGCTTCGTACAGACTCTTCTAATAATATCTTATTTCAGCAGTTCAAGGGCTTTTCAGACCATATGATGTAATCCCCAGGTTAAATTCCTTCACGCTCAACCCAACACTACTCAATTATTCATTTACATTATTACTGTTTAAGGCTGAAAATACTTGAGCCACTGGAAATTAAATACTTTATCAGCAATGATTTTCAGTTTCAAGCAATGTCCTTACAGTCGGGACAGAAAGTAAAGGACATGTGAGGGGAATTACCAATTTGACATAGATTTAATGATGCAAGTGGATGACAAGTGTCCTTCAGATTTCTTGTTACCATTTAAATTAAAGCAGCCTGTGGCCCCAGCTGTGTGTAAATTCAACATAGCTTGGTCACAATATGGCGTAAAAATGAAGGATCATTCTTATTAACTGTTAACGTAAAAGAAAAGTGAATAAAGTTCACAGAGATGACTAATGCTGGAGCTAGAGGAAATGTTTCCTTACACATTTACAATGACACCGGAATGAACCTTGTGTTGTACAATCATAGTTTGATTGGACGAGGTCACAGTGAGATTTCTTCCTGCATTGACTTGCTTACGGGAATTGCTGACAACTTTGTATCACTCCTGACACACCTATTTGTAACATTTTCACGAGTGCAACACTATGAAATCCTTTCAAGGAAAAAGTGGGCACATTTCTCCATGTTTCGCCATCTCTATATGTTAGCTTGACCCATCACTCATTCAATCACTAGTCAGTAGCTTTCTCTTCAGTTTCACCAAAATGGCATACTGAATGAAACGTGAACAATGTTGTGATTACATCTGACTTGACTTCAGTATAGTTAAAGTAACCAATGGGCGAGTTGAATGTGAAAGTAACAAGTAACAAAGCTTCTTTATTTATTCCACAAATAAAGCCATAATCTTTTGTGATATATAGTGCAGCTCAGAAACGATACATTTCCATGACTGCCGCTCTGCAGAGATACAATTACCTTGGTTGAGATGGAGATACCCTCCTTTTTTAAATTACAGGATATATCTAACGTTTTGAACACTTAATGCCACAGAGCAAAGCAAAACAAAGCAGGCATTGAGAATAGTTTTTAGAAAGGGAAAAACTATTTCAAAGCCTGCCAATAATCAGGAAGGTGCAGAGAAAAACACAGTGATGTTGTTGTTTTTGACAAAGATTGGTACATTCCTTTTACAAGCACTGAGTATCAGAGCAACCAATCTGTATGTTTGTGAGCAAAAACAACAGCATCCATTGGAAATAAAACACCACACAAGTCAAACACACAAATCCAGAAGAAAATGAATGCCAGGATTATACTGTTTCCGTTACATGTTTAACCATTAGCTCATTTACTCAGACCTTTAGTCTTTGTACTTCCTCCAACAGTTCTCTGGACTCAGTTACAGGAAACCTGAAGTTAACTGCAGCCAAAAATCAAATGGAAGAGGGTAAGAAAATAAAACAGTTGTCATCAGCAACAACATCTTGCATAAGGAAACATGAGAAAACCAAATTTCCTGAGGGTGATCCAGACTCTAAAGATAAAGCAATGCTGCTAATGAGAAAACCCTGAATGCATTATTGCGCTGTGCTGGTTTTGAAATGCATTCCAGGGAAATGTGATTAATGTTTTCCACATACTCAGAAAAGGAATTCCCAGGAGTCCTTAACGGAGAGAGAGAGAGAAAGACAGAGAGAG